CGAAATGGTCGAAACGGCGAAGATAAAGAAATTGGGTCGATCCGTCCACGTTCGTCACGCACACGCGGTGTACTGTACGTATGTAACACGACGTTCGTAAATTCACGATTTGTAAGCAGCTGGATCACAAATTTTCTACGGACTAAATCGGTTTTTTCTTTTATTTTTTTTAACCTTGCGTAAGAGATTCTCCACCCTACCAAATTTTGATGATCCCTGTGATTTTTCTTTTGTGGAAGAATGCAACTTTCGAAGGATGGACGGGGACTTCCCTACGGGGAACGGGGTCGAGGACGGGAAGAACCGAACTAGTCTACCTCACGCGCAAACCTCTTCCGACGAGTGGAAATGGGGGTTTAGAGAATACAAATGCGAAACGACACGCAAGCGGGTTGCACGCGTTTAAACCACACCCCCCGACTCACACTTTGTAAAGAAACGATATACGGGTTATACAACACTGTAAACGTTCGAGAGTTACGAGTATTTCGATCTTTGTACCCTCCGAAAGTTAACTCTTGCACGTTTAGAAGCGCGCGGAAGACCTCTAGCTTAACCTCACCCCGTCCTCAACGAGTCGTACGAATAACGGAACTTCGTCCGGAATCTCTCTCTATCTCCAGACATCCCCGTTGGAAAACGAAATTGAGAAAACCGGCGCAGTCGGGAGGGCGGAATCGGAATTTCGAGGACGTGGCGGGGATTTCCGGTGTGACGTGTCGACAAAAAACAAAAAAAAAACCGCCACTCCAAGGCCGGCAAAACGGTAAAGGAGGGAAACGTTTTCGAAAGAGGATTTTTTTCCGTTTACCACCGTCGATGGAGGATTTACGACGGAAACTCTCTCCCGGTTTTCGTGGCTCACCCCTTTTCCGTGAGGAATTCGGAGGCGGGGAGGGAAGAGCGTCTTTTCCATTGTTTCGACTAGTCCGACGCCCACCCGCCCTATCTGACAATTCGGTATATCACGAGAACGCTAGGCATCCGGGACGCGTCACGATTCGGTCACGGTCGGGTCACGAAAGTCGTTCGTCTCGTTTCGTACGTCGTGGGCGTTAACGCTCGACCATCAAAGAACCCCGCGTGTGTCGGCAGCTAGAAACAAAAAAAGGAGGCAGAGAGCTACGGAAGGCTCCCCCCTTTGCGGCAGTGTTGCCGGCCGCGGGGGACGATCTTTCTTTTAAACCCCCTAATGCCGTTTAAAGAGCGTGGGTGGAGGCGGCGGAGATGAAATTGCGGATATTCTCGGAGATTTGCGCGAGATTCGACGTAACCGACCGCTATGGAATGGTGGCGCCCCCTCTCCCGTTCGGGACGGTCTGGTTACGCCGATAACGAGATTTGGCCGCGAACTTTCCCCCCTGACGGAGATTTGCCAAGCGCCGCCAAACGGGCGCTACCAGAAATCCAAGAATAATTTAAAAAGTTAGAAAAAAACTGCCGTTGGTGGCGTGACGCGCCGACGACCGCGGGTAATCGGCGACGCCGCCAATGCACAAATTTCGTTCCGTTCCGTAACGAGATCTCCGGAAGGAAGACGGAAGTGCATTATCCTAATGGAACTGCGGAATCGAATCGCGCCGCGCCGGTCGGCGTCGGCGTCGTCGCGCTAACGGCGGCGGCGTCGGAAGCGACTTAAACGAGGCCAGAGGCGCCAGCGAAGAACCGACACCCACTCCCGACCTTTGAACTTTGCCATTGTTCCTTAACGAGCCAGTAAGACAGTGAATTAGTACGCGGCAATGGGTGTCGGACCGGTCGTTACATCTCGGGCTTCTTCCTCCGTAACGGGGGAACGGGGGAAGAGGCAGATAGAACCGGAAGGGACGAATGGAGGAGGGAGAAACAACCGAATAGCGGTCGGCAATCCGCGATAAACATCGCCATTATTTGCAGAAAGGGATTTAAGAAGGGAGACTTGTTGAACGGCCGCCGATCCGACAGTCTGGCGTCGACGGCGCGCAACACGTGATACGTCTCCGTCACACCGCGTTGGGTCAGAGCGACGCCCGTCTGCCTCGACGCTCTCTCTCTCGACCCCACCCTTGGCCACTTTCTTCCCTTTCCGGGCCCGATACCCGACGGACGACGGATTTAAGCCAGGGACCGACTCCAAACCGGAAAATTTGAATCCGTCCTCGACAAACGGCTCCCCGGAACTCGAGCTACACCCCCAACTTAACCCGCGAAAGAGAAGAATGGCGGGATGACGTTTCCCCCGTTTCCGGTCGGGGAGCGGAAGTAGAACCCCGACGCGATAGGAGAACTAATCGTTGCGGAACTTAAAAGGGTTGAAAAAGCGGAGGAGGAAGATTACGGTAACGAGTCCGGATGGCAGAAGAGGCAGAGAGGGAGATTAAAGAGAAGGCGCCGAGCAGACGGACTGGGCGGACGAAGGGAGGATGGAAACCGATTCCGCCCCCGCGCGCGCTGTTTCCCTCTCTTCGTCCGACGACGCACGCGAAGAATGGCAAAATTTTAAGACTGGAAACGGATGCGTCGTCATCGCCTCCGCTTCGCGTCGCACTTCCGTCGGACGCGCCGTCTCTTCCAAAGCCCGAGGGAAGGAAATTCCCCTTTAAGGAAACCAAAAATTACGGAAAAGACTCTTATCCCGGGCGCATTTTTCCGGAAAATGCGGTTTTCCGGGATCTTTTTGGCATCTCGGCCGTCCGGACGGCGACGGGCGGCCCCGGGGGAGGCGGTGGCGAAAGGAGGACGGGAGATCTCGGCCGTTTTTCAATCCTCCGCCGCCCGGACGAGATGGGAATCGTGTGATGGCGAGCGCGTCGCGCCGCGACAGCGCGACGTCACTTAGCGAAGGAGGCGCCTTCCTAAATTAAACTAGGATATTCTCGGTCGGGGGCCCGAGAGGGGGGAGGAAGAACGAGAGAGAGGAGGGTGGGAACCCGAGCCGGACCCGAGAGGAGCCGAAGTTATGGAAGACAAACAGAAATCGAAGCCATAGTCAACAGCGGGCAGGACAAACACGGTTTCCGTTTCCGAGGAGTAAGTGCCGCAGTCGCGCAGACGACCCAAAGTTTTTAAGTGGAAAGTGGCTCCCCGTCGCCCGCCGGATCGTGTGACTGCAATCCAGATAATTGATCGACGCCTCGCCCGTCCCGAGAGGGCGCGGATCGTCTTACCGCTCCCCCCTCGCTCCTCGGCCCGCCGCCCCAATCCGGCCGGAGGGCGGCGGGCCCGAGTACCAGGCTGCCCCCGCCTCGTGCGGGGCTGGTGATTAAGTGCGGAGTTTTCCGCCGTCATCCGCGCGCTCGGCGGAGCGTGAAGGGAGGAAGAGCCGCGTTCTCGATCTCCGTCCTTCGCGTAAACCCGGCGGACGTCGTTAATGACACGCGACCGGCGGTTATTAATGGCGCGACCCCTCCCTTCGCTCGCGCCGTTCCGAAACGGAAGACGTTTCGGCCCGCTCCGGTTCTTCTCTCGTCACTTCCTGTTTCCGAGCGCCTCCCGGTCGCCGATCATCTCCCCCCATTTTGCAGAAACCGCGGGCCTCCGTCCGTAGAATATTAAATATATATATGCAAACGAGCCAAAGGGGTGACCTACGGGCGTTGTCTTATATTCGGCAATGGCATCTTGGGCGCGAGGACGATTCCACGTCTCGCGGTTAAAGGAACGTATTGCGCCAGTTCTGTTTGACGTAGAGATCGTTCTTACCGCCGTCTTTCGCACGCACGCACGCACGCTGGCGGGGAGGCCCGATTTACAGATATCTGCGAATTGTCTGGGGCCTTCCTGGCGGATGTCCGAACGATACGCAACGTCGCCACTCGGGCGGCTGACGTAAAACGGCTTATAATTAAAGCGTCCGCATTCGGAGTGACGTGGAAATCCTCCCGAAAGATCCCGGTGAAGTAATTAATCAAAAAAATCCCGCTAGGGTTAAAAGAGCGCTGCGTTTTACGCAAGAAGACGGAACTCTCGTATAGGCCAAGCCTATAATAAAAAGCGATAAATAAGAATTTTTGGAGAGTAGTAACGTGACGGAGCATCGACAATGGCGTTACGACGACCCTTCGAGACCGGGACCACTTTCCATTATCGCAAAGCGCGCCAGCGATGGACGTAACGCAATACGTACAGTACGTCCACCGGGGGAGGTTAACAAACGATATTTCGGGGACCCAGAAAAAGTCACGTACGTTCTACGTGTTTCGTACGTCATACCACTTTAAACGGGAGTTAATATTATATGCAGGTTGGCAACACTTCCGAGAAATGAGTGGACGGTAACCGCGCTCAAATATGGCGCTCGTCTTCCGGTAAATCTCGCTTTGTACCGTTTTTTTGGGGACGAGAAGTGGCGTTATACCGTACCAAAAGGCATTCGATTTCGGTTAACCAGAAACGGATCAAGCGTTGGCGAGTCACGTGTAAATCGAGCGTGAGATTTAATTGCGAAAGCGTTCTCGGATCGATAGAATTTAAAGAAGGTCACAGGCGATGGAAAAATCTTAAAATATTTAAATCGTTTCGGCGCGAGGCAAAAGGAATTCTTTTTTTTTTTCCACAGAGGAATCACGACTTCCATCGAAAATAACAGCAAAAAATAAAGAAAAATAAAAAACGTTTCGCTGTGTTTAAATTCCGAGAAACGTAACCAAAACAATGGAAACACTCTATTATCCCTCCGCCACTTAATTATACTTCAATTCGCTACTTTCTCTTTCGAACTGCCACGACTCTCTCTCTCTCTCTCTCCCCTTCCATCACTCGATCCGGTGGTGTAACAAGAAACGTTAATGTTTAACACCAGCTTAACGACACCGAGGACGGCGGGTTCTTACATTACGTCATCCACATCCATCCCTCCTTCCGACCCGCATGCGGGAGTGCCCGCAGCGCGTGTACGTGCGGGTGCCCCAACTTGGCTCCAACTCTATTTTCGAAAAACTGGAAATTTCACCTTCCCCCCCCTTGACATTCCCTGAAATTTCTTAAGGGGGGGGTTTAAGAAATGCAAGTACTGTACTTACCCTGTTTCTAGACAATGATTGAAACAGTCCTTTCTGGTGAGTGCCGGAGAAGTTTCTGTGTTCCAGTTTCCGTATCGACAACCGATCAGCCACGAATCACCTGAAGAAGAGAGAAAATTACTTATAAAAGGTTCGGCCTATTTGTCGGGTCGTGTGTCTGTCATCGAAATTTCTACGAAACTATAACAATTAGAGGGTTAAAAATACACTAGAATCCTCCGTACTAACAGGAAATGGAAGACTTCAATCGGTATTGTTAATTTTTACTGTATTCCCATTATGGGCATACAACCGGTAACACCAGGGGATAAAAAAAGACGTGCCACAATATAGATTTCGATTGATCAAATGAAATAGCTCAATTGATTGCGCGGGGGGGTGACCGAGAACTACGTAATCGCGTAATGTTCACCGAGGTTAAAGGTGGAGGATTTACGCGAGGACGTGACGTTTCCGAAGAAGACCGGCGAATTGTTCGGCGCCATCTATGGAGAAGGACGATGACTAATTTTCGGAAAAGCCAGAGCGGATAAATTATTAACCCGCCCCCTACGGAAGAGAAAGAGAACGGCGCGGACACCCCACCCGCTCCGCATTGTCCGACCCGGAAGTCGGCCGTCTCGCGCGCTCTTCGATTTCGAACTCGACCGACCACACCCTTCATCCATCTCCCTCCCCCTCTCTGCGGACGCCTGAATTTTACATGAGAGAGAGAAGGACCGCACGGGGCGTAGCTCGCTCTTCTCTTTCATCCCCCCTCGGTTGGCGGGCGTACCTCTCGCACTCGTTTATCACGAGATTCGCTCCGAAGCAATTCCTCGGATTTTCAATTTTCTGAGGAATCCAGAAAAAAGGTTCCGCTGGACGTAAACGACTGAAAATTCTATTGTAAAAACAAACAATTCTTATGGTTCCGGGTTCGAATTCTTATCCTTTCCACGCGACGCGACGTGACGTAACGTAGCGTGACGTAAGGAACAAGAAGTGACGTTAACGTAACTTCCCGTCACCGAATTACGATTCTTCTTCCGGGTTAAGCGATGACTTCCGGCAGCACCCCGCTTGGCGAAAGGGTGATGAATGGAGAGGAAACGGAGTCGAGGGGTGCAATGCGTGACGTAACACAACAGCGGGGTGAGGAAAGAGTGATCGGAGACGTCGTATTTTGCTAAACGTATTTAGGTTAGGGACGAAATGGTAAACAATAAGAACAAAAATCTAGTTTGGCCTAACTTTTAGGCAATTAAAACTAATCTTTGGATTACAATGGGTAAAAACTGAATAAAAATCGACTTTTCAAGAGAATGCCAAGCGCCGTAATTGCGGTTAATATGAAGTTAGTCCCCGATAAAGGCGCGTTACCTTCTTTTTTTAAATTAAAAATCATTTAAAACACTAAACGGTCTTTCAATTTACATACAATACGATCAGATACGGGTCATAATTACGGTACTGTATGTCTACCGCTGCGATTTTTACTAGGATCTCGCGCGACTTTTGCCGTATCGCGATAGAATTGAAGCGGAACCGGAAGGAAAGAAGCCATCCCTGCATGTTAGGCACAGAAAAGGAGACTCTTGTACGGACGAGGACGGGTGAACTTTGCACTCGCCGCCACAAAAGAAGCTATCCTGGCCACGGGAGACACCATCCTGCACTGGCCAGGTAAGGAGAGACGATACGAGAACAAAGCAATCGTCAGAGATTGCTTTGTTCTCGTGTTTTGTTGGTTTATCGTGTCTATTTTCCGTTGGGCGCACGTAATATTGTTTTTATTTTTGACCCCCAGGCCTAAATTCCTGTTAGGCGCGCTGGTCGCATCAGAGAGCGTGGACATCGTCACTGTAATACCTTTGTATACACGATAAAGAACCTCGGAACCGGGAGTTTTTATCGTTTCGTGGCAAGTAAATTAAAGGTAGAAGACATTACATCGTAACACAGTCGTACGCAAACGAGAGGTAACGAAATGTATAGACTTACTGGTGTACTTCGTCACCTGGAACCTGTCATAAACGAGGATTTCTTCCTTACAAACAGACTAGATTTTTCAAACGTAACCATCTGGAGCGTCACGATGGAATTCTTAAATATAGAATGTTACGTTTGTAAAGGCTATAAACTATAAATAAACTGTAAATTAAGGTGTTTCTGAGAAATTTCTTCGATGGGTTTATCGGAAACTAGCGCCAAACTTTGCCACTCGACCATTTCGCGCGATAAAAGTGCGAGAGATCGATCGTAACGGAAGTTATAAACAATTAAAATCGATTAATTACGTACCGTGTGAAAAGGGGAGATGTCCGGTTAAGTTGACAAGTTTGAGGCTTTTACGTTACCACGAGCTTCAACACGTAAAATTTAAATAAAGCGTCACACTTTCGGGTGTCTTTTAATTGTTATACCACACCCGTAAGCGGGTGTCATTTCGTCTGAGGATGTAAATAACACGATTATTTCGAAGGTGGCTTTCGTGTATGTATAAAATAGACACGAAAAAGTCTCTGTCGAATGATAGATACACGTACACAACATTGACACGGCCGAACAAATTGCCATTTGTCCGCCATCCACCCACGCTACACAAGTACAGAGCCAAACTTTGTTATCAAAACATTTCTCGTCTCCCTGCGCTCGTTTAAAGGAAACAAAGAATAAATTATGCAGCGAGTTCTTTAATAGTTTTTGATGTTTTAAAATCTCGAAAACATTAAAAGAACGTTTACACGCGAGTATTATAACACCCGTTAATAACAGATTAAACTTCCGAAGAGGTGCTGCCATCTAATGACGGTAAATTAAAATAACGCGGAAAATTGCGATTAAACCACGACGGGAAACGGAATTGTCGGCGTGATAATTAAACGACAGCGCGTGCTCGTCCTTCGCCCCCGAAAAAAAAAAAAAAAAAACCTTACGTCATTCTCCCGTTCTCCGGAAGCGGCCTCCGTTCCCAGATTCTACCACCGGAAGTGGTGGGGGTGCTCGAAATCGTCCGGAGTAAAGTTAGAAGGCGCGCCCGAAGCAGATAACCTACCCCGATACTTACCAGAGCAGGTGTGAAGACACGAGACGAGACACAACAGGTACGACAGGCTCCTCCCCATCTGATCGGGCGATGGCCATCCGAACCGCGCGCCCTCCCTACTGGTTCCTGCGTCACTCGTTAACGGACCGCTAGACTCTTCCGCGCGGGTGCCCTTCCTTCTACTTTTCTATTAGACAGTCTTCGTGTTCCTCGGGCCTATCCCTTTAGTCCTCGCACCCCCCGGTTCGATACTACTTCGGAAAAAAAGGAGAAAGTGTAGTCTCGGGACGAGAACTTCTTCCTTCGGCGGAAGGATCGTCGGATTCTAGAGAGAGCGCCGTCGGTCCCACCCGGAGCCGTGTGACGTCGTAGTTTACTGTGCCGGCGACTCGGACGAAAGTGGTCGTGTGCGGGGTTCTCCTCCACCTCGGAACGTCTAAACGAGGGAGAAATTACCCGAAATTTCCACGCACAAGACCCGAAAGAACGGATAACACTGCTCCGTGCACGTGGCACGATTCGTTACCACGTGGGAGCGGTACGGGTTTAAACAATCTTGTTCGACAAAGCGGTTACTTTTAAATACAGTGACGTCAATAGGGGATGAAAATTTCCGCGAAACTCTTTCTCAAAATAGGATGTGACCCGAAGTTTAATCCGTGCTCGATCGAGTTCTTTAAACGAAGAGAAAGTTCGCACCCTTTTCGGTGGAGGTTTTCCTCCGCCGTTTCGAATTAAAATGGAGGTCAAAGGTCGCGTCGATTGTCCGGAGAGAATGAATGACGTCAAACGACGTAGGCTTTCGAATAGGAACGTATTGCCATCTGTTTCTCGCCACAGAAACTATACGAATCGAATTAAAAGGATGGTCCGAGTGTCTGCCCATTTACATAAGCTAACAACACGTTAAATTTGCCACTCCTCTTCTATTTCATAAATTATTACCTTATGGAATAAAAGAACTTAATTTCGGAAGGTTTTTAATTATTTAATAATTTATTAAAATTATAATTATTAATTTAGTTAAGAGATGGCGCCTAACGCCTCCCTCAAATGACAAATTACTTTATACTAAACATTTAATTAGCCAACTTCTAGCCCAATCTTTCAGACGATCGTTGATTATTTTATTATATACTCATCGGGCGTTGATAAGCTTATTATATATAAAGTTGACAAAATTGTTCGTTTTTCGAGTTAGGAAAAAAGTTTCTTTCAGTTCTCAGTTCGAACGCCCTGGTTTAAGCTCGATGCACGCGGCGATAAAATTTACAACCGGCATCGACGTCACGGCCAGTCTAACCAATCGTTTCTTTCGACTCGAGCGATCGGTCGTCGACGTCGCGGAATACGAACATTTCCCATAGTTTCGCCCGCGTGTAAAGCGTTCGGTAGGGTCCATTAACTATAATTAACTGAAATGCAACGAGAATTATTGTTGCGCTTACCGCCTGCCGCGCCATCGTCAGTGGCGCGTTATGGCTTGGTGGGAAGCAGCAAATTTGAATTAAGTCGACACCTTATACGGTGTCCCCTAAGACATTGTTCTTCGAGGGATTTTTTCGCGAAGTATTTATTTTTATACAAGATTAGTTAGGAACCCGGTGTGAGCGGGGGCTTCGGGCTATTGCCCTTTTTGCCCATAGGATAACGCGCCATCGGAGATCGTATCTCGTTTTAGCATTTCGTTCTTTAGGGAGGAAAAAAAAACTTTTATTTCTCATTCCCGAAATAAGAATCTTAAACAAAATGGCGGACGTATTCCGAACTTTTCTCCGAGACATCTTTTGTGGGGGAGTCCTGCACCTTTTGGCGCAAATCTTGCAGCGATACAAAGGAAGCAAATTCGTTCCTGGAGGAAATTTTGGCAAGAAATTGCCAAATCAATCCGGTCTTTGGTTTTCGCCTTTTCTTCAGTTGTTGGGCCAACGCCCGGCGCGGTATACCAATCGTTGGCAGGGATTTTACATTACGGAGATCCCCGCTTAGATTAAGTAAATGGGGTGTGGCACAACTTCGGCGTTCCGGCATTACCGATACTTCCGAAGTTTAAAATTCGTCCTTGGCGCATTTCCAGAAGTTCCGCAATCTTAGTGTCTTGATTGCCCCGTTACTCTTTCTTCCATTGGCATTATACGATATCCGTCGTAGACGAGGTGTATTTTTCCCCCATCCAACACAAGCACCAGTGTTTTTAAGTACTAATTTATTTACTTTACCGTTTGAAAAAATCTTAAAACAATACAAAAACTTAACAACGATAACAAAATGGTTTCTCGCGCGTTGCATTTTCTCGGGTCCGTCAAAATTTAATGGGGGGATCGAAGGTGGCAGTTCCCATCCGGTCGTTGGCGTGGCGAATTTAACGGGGGAATTCTTTAATGTAAAGAATTCTCTAGTTTGGCGGGGGAGACGAGAGTGGCCGGTAAAAATCCGAAAGGACGGAAAATTCTTAACGGAATTTGAAAAATATTCCGAAAAATCGACAGACGCGATGATTCCGCGAACCGGTGCGGCGGGGAGGCAGTTGGGGTGGCCAGTAATTCCGGGACGTTTCCTGAATTATTCCAGACCATCCGCCGCCGTAACGGGCGACGGGAATTACGAAAATAAAGAAATTCGACGGTAAGTAACAATTTCCGTCCAGGTCGATGCAAACAGGAGTACCGTCCGACAGCCATATTGCCTCCTCTAAACGCCCCTAGGCGATTTTTAAGGCAGTTTCAAAACTAAACTGGTTGCGTCGTCTCTTAAAAATAATAGCATCCGGCCCGTCTGACCCGGACGCTATTAATTAAAAATCCATTGGGTTTCTGGTCCGGAAGAGCGGGAGCCACCGAGTCCCGTCCGGGATTCACAGGTTGGAGGTGGTGACGATATACTGCATGTCGGACAAGGCGTGACACAGGCTCTCGAACAACCTCTCGGGCACGGTTCCAGGATTCTTGCGGAAAGCGGTGATGCAGAAACCGATCCTGCAAAAATTTCAGGGGTGGTCAGTGGCCGCCTTCGGCGGTGTTAGGATTAGTGAAGTTGGAAAAGCGACGCCTCACCTGTTATTCTCTACGTTGTAGAAACAACCGTAACCGTTCTCTACCATGGGCATGACTCCGCCCGTTACCGATGTGTAACCCGTACAGCTGGTGGACAGGATGAACTTTCCGCTTCCTCCGCTAACGAGTTACAATAACAATAACAAGTTACTTTAAATAAGCTGGTGGCGGCCGAGAGTTAAAAAATTAAATTTTTACCTCTTTTCCCAGGAAGGATCCAAGAATATTTCCGGAATGGGATCTCCGTTTTCCATGCAGATCATAAAAAGTCCCAGGAAGTGTCTGTCACACCCTTAAATACACAATAAAACACTTACTTAAAATAATCTTTAGTCTCTAGAAAATTAAGATATAGCCTAAAAGCCGCAGTTTGAACCCGTAGGCCCGGCCACCATAAATCTCGTATTAATATTTTATTAGCCTGGAAACAAAAATAATGATTTTGATTCCTACTGGCAGATAAGAAGAAAAATTTACCTCTATTATTTGTACACTCGGCCATTAAGTGGGTGAATTTTTCGATGGCTCTCCTCAGTAATTTCATCTGCTCCGACGGCTACAAAAGAACATCGTGGTTAATAAACTCTTATTTCTTTCAATTTGTGCCGTAATTCGCTACGCGTGCAGGCAGGTCAAATGTTAAGAGCAGAACCAACCAGTAAGTCGGCCAATGGTGTAGTTCGTTTCGTACTAAACGGATTAAGCCATTGATCCGCTTACTTAATTTTTTTTCTGCTCTTTGGGCACTAAGTGGGCCTCTTTTCGCAAGCCCATTATGGGTTCAGCTAGGCCCACAATGGGGCAGCCAGACATATCTGGATGGACAACCCTCGAAAAATTCCAGGGGATTTTTTCACTCGTCTGGATTCNCTCTATTATCCCTCCGCCACTTAATTATACTTCAATTCGCTACTTTCTCTTTCGAACTGCCACGACTCTCTCTCTCTCTCTCCCCTTCCATCACTCGATCCGGTGGTGTAACAAGAAACGTTAATGTTTAACACCAGCTTAACGACACCGAGGACGGCGGGTTCTTACATTACGTCATCCACATCCATCCCTCCTTCCGACCCGCATGCGGGAATGCCCGCAGCGCGTGTACGTGCGGGTGCCCCAACTTGGCTCCAACTCTATTTTCGAAAAACTGGAAATTTCACCTTCCCCCCCTTGACATTCCCTGAAATTTCTTAAGGGGGGGGTTTAAGAAATGCAAGTACTGTACTTACCCTGTTTCTAGACAATGATTGAAACAGTCCTTTCTGGTGAGTGCCGGAGAAGTTTCTGTGTTCCAGTTTCCGTATCGACAACCGATCAGCCACGAATCACCTGAAGAAGAGAGAAAATTACTTATAAAAGGTTCGGCCTATTTGTCGGGTCGTGTGTCTGTCATCGAAATTTCTACGAAACTATAACAATTAGAGGGTTAAAAATACACTAGAATCCTCCGTACTAACAGGAAATGGAAGACTTCAATCGGTATTGTTAATTTTTACTGTATTCCCATTATGGGCATACAACCGGTAACACCAGGGGATAAAAAAAGACGTGCCACAATATAGATTTCGATTGATCAAATGAAATAGCTCAATTGATTGCGCGGGGGGGTGACCGAGAACTACGTAATCGCGTAATGTTCACCGAGGTTAAAGGTGGAGGATTTACGCGAGGACGTGACGTTTCCGAAGAAGACCGGCGAATTGTTCGGCGCCATCTATGGAGAAGGACGATGACTAATTTTCGGAAAAGCCAGAGCGGATAAATTATTAACCCGCCCCCTACGGAAGAGAAAGAGAACGGCGCGGACACCCCACCCGCTCCGCATTGTCCGACCCGGAAGTCGGCCGTCTCGCGCGCTCTTCGATTTCGAACTCGACCGACCACACCCTTCATCCATCTCCCTCCCCCTCTCTGCGGACGCCTGAATTTTACATGAGAGAGAGAAGGACCGCACGGGGCGTAGCTCGCTCTTCTCTTTCATCCCCCCTCGGTTGGCGGGCGTACCTCTCGCACTCGTTTATCACGAGATTCGCTCCGAAGCAATTCCTCGGATTTTCAATTTTCTGAGGAATCCAGAAAAAAGGTTCCGCTGGACGTAAACGACTGAAAATTCTATTGTAAAAACAAACAATTCTTATGGTTCCGGGTTCGAATTCTTATCCTTTCCACGCGACGCGACGTGACGTAACGTAGCGTGACGTAAGGAACAAGAAGTGACGTTAACGTAACTTCCCGTCACCGAATTACGATTCTTCTTCCGGGTTAAGCGATGACTTCCGGCAGCACCCCGCTTGGCGAAAGGGTGATGAATGGAGAGGAAACGGAGTCGAGGGGTGCAATGCGTGACGTAACACAACAGCGGGGTGAGGAAAGAGTGATCGGAGACGTCGTATTTTGCTAAACGTATTTAGGTTAGGGACGAAATGGTAAACAATAAGAACAAAAATCTAGTTTGGCCTAACTTTTAGGCAATTAAAACTAATCTTTGGATTACAATGGGTAAAAACTGAATAAAAATCGACTTTTCAAGAGAATGCCAAGCGCCGTAATTGCGGTTAATATGAAGTTAGTCCCCGATAAAGGCTCGTTACATTCTTTTTTTAAATTAAAAATCATTTAAAACACTAAACGGTCTTTCAATTTACATACAATACGATCAGATACGGGTCATAATTACGGTACTGTACGTCTACCGCTGCGATTTTTACTAGGATCTCGCGCGACTTTTGTCGTATCGCGATAGAATTGAAGCGGAACCGGAAGGAAAGAAGCCATCCCTGCATGTTAGGCACAGAAAAGGAGACTCTTGTACGGACGAGGACGGGTGAACTTTGCACTCGCCGCCACAAAAGAAGCTATCCTGGCCACGGGAGACACCATCCTGCACTGGCCAGGTAAGGAGAGACGATACGAGAACAAAGCAATCGTCAGCGATTGCTTTGTTCTCGTGTTTTGTTGGTTTATCGCGTCTATTTTCCGTTGGGCGCACGTAATATTGTTTTTATTTTTGACCCCCAGGCCTAAATTCCTGTTAGGCGCGCTGGTCGCATCAGAGAGCGTGGACATCGTCACTGTAATACCTTTGTATACACGATAAAGAACCTCGGAACCGGGAGTTTTTATCGTTTCGTGGCAAGTAAATTAAAGGTAGAAGACATTACATCGTAACACAGTCGTACGCAAACGAGAGGTAACGAAATGTATAGACTTACTGGTGTACTTCGTCACCTGGAACCTGTCATAAACGAGGATTTCTTCCTTACAAACAGACTAGATTTTTCAAACGTAACCATCTGGAGCGTCACGATGGAATTCTTAAATATAGAATGTTACGTTTGTAAAGGCTATAAACTATAAATAAACTGTAAATTAAGGTGTTTCTGAGAAATTTCTTCGATGGGTTTATCGGAAACTAGCGCCAAACTTTGCCACTCGACCATTTCGCGCGATAAAAGTGCGAGAGATCGATCGTAACGGAAGTTATAAACAATTAAAATCGATTAATTACGTACCGTGTGAAAAGGGGAGATGTCCGGTTAAGTTGACAAGTTTGAGGCTTTTACGTTACCACGAGCTTCAACACGTAAAATTTAAATAAAGCGTCACACTTTCGGGTGTCTTTTAATTGTTATACCACACCCGTAAGCGGGTATCATTTCGTCTGAGGATGTAAATAACACGATTATTTCGAAGGTGGCTTTCGTGTATGTATAAAATAGACACGAAAAAGTCTCTGTCGAATGATAGATACACGTACACAACATTGACACGGCCGAACAAATTGCCATTTGTCCGCCATCCACCCACGCTACACAAGTACAGAGTCAAACTTTGTTATCAAAACATTTCTCGTCTCCCTGCGCTCGTTTAAAGGAAACAAAGAATAAATTATGCAGCGAGTTCTTTAATAGTTTTTGATGTTTTAAAATCTCGAAAACATTAAAAGAACGTTTACACGCGAGTATTATAACACCCGTTAATAACAGATTAAACTTCCGAAGAGGTGCTGCCATCTAATGACGGTAAATTAAAATAACGCGGAAAATTGCGATTAAACCACGACGGGAAACGGAATTGTCGGCGTGATAATTAAACGACAGCGCGTGCTCGTCCTTCGCCCCCGAAAAAAAAAAAAAAAAAAAANAGAGTGGCCGGTAAAAATCCGAAAGGACGGAAAATTCTTAACGGAATTTGAAAAATATTCCGAAAAATCGACAGACGCGATGATTCCGCGAACCGGTGCGGCGGGGAGGCAGTTGGGGTGGCCAGTAATTCCGGGACGTTTCCTGAATTATTCCAGACCATCCGCCGCCGTAACGGGCGACGGGAATTACGAAAATAAAGAAATTCGACGGTAAGTAACAATTTCCGTCCAGGTCGATGCAAACAGGAGTACCGTCCGACAGCCATATTGCCTCCTCTAAACGCCCCTAGGCGATTTTTAAGGCAGTTTCAAAACTAAACTGGTTGCGTCGTCTCTTAAAAATAATAGCATCCGGCCCGATTGACCCGGACGCTATTAATTAAAAATCCATTGGGTTTCTGGTCCGGAAGAGCGGGAGCCACCGAGTCCCGTCCGGGATTCACAGGTTGGAGGTGGTGACGATATACTGCATGTCGGACAAGGCGTGACACAGGCTCTCGAACAACCTCTCGGGCACGGTTCCAGGATTCTTGCGGAAAGCGGTGATGCAGAAACCGATCCTGCAAAAATTTCAGGGGTGGTCAGTGGCCGCCTTCGGCGGTGTTAGGATTAGTGAAGTTGGAAAAGCGACGCCTCACCTGTTATTCTCTACGTTGTAGAAACAACCGTAACCGTTCTCTACCATGGGCATGACTCCGCCCGTTACCGATGTGTAACCCGTACAGCTGGTGGACAGGATGAACTTTCCGCTTCCTCCGCTAACGAGTTACAATAACAATAACAAGTTACTTTAAATAAGCTGGTGGCGGCCGAGAGTTAAAAAATTAAATTTTTACCTCTTTTCCCAGGAAGGATCCAAGAATATTTCCGGAATGGGATCTCCGTTTTCCATGCAGATCATAAAAAGTCCCAGGAAGTGTCTGTCACACCCTTAAATACACAATAAAACACTTACTTAAAATAATCTTTAGTCTCTAGAAAATTAAGATATAGCCTAAAAGCCGCAGTTTGAACCCGTAGGCCCGGCCACCATAAATCTCGTATTAATATTTTATTAGCCTGGAAACAAAAATAATGATTTTGATTCCTACTGGCAGATAAGAAGAAAAATTTACCTCTATTATTTGTACACTCGGCCATTAAGTGGGTGAATTTTTCGATGGCTCTCCTCAGTAATTTCATCTGCTCCGACGGCTACAAAAGAACATCGTGGTTAATAAACTCTTATTTCTTTCAATTTGTGCCGTAATTCGCTACGCGTGCAGGCAGGTCAAATGTTAAGAGCAGAACCAACCAGTAAGTCGGCCAATGGTGTAGTTCGTTTCGTACTAAACGGATTAAGCCATTGATCCGCTTACTTAATTTTTTTTCTGCTCTTTGGGCACTAAGTGGGCCTCTTTTCGCAAGCCCATTATGGGTTCAGCTAGGCCCACAATGGGGCAGCCAGACATATCTGGATGGACAACCCTCGAAAAATTCCAGGGGATTTTTTCACTCGTCTGGATTCAATCCCAGGTCCCTCAGAGCAGTAGGCTGTCACCTTGACCGCTCGGCCATCTGGCCACCAATTAAAGTGTAATGTAAAGCCAGGGTCGAGTGTATTTATTACAAATAATTTTGTTAAATTTTGCCCGTCATTCTCAATTAAGACACATGATCCCAAATTTCTGTATAAATAACCCAAAGATTATGTGTTTAAAAGTCAAAGGGTCATGCAACACGGATTAACTGACAATTTTAACTGGTCAAACTGCTTTCCCTCTTCGGCTGGCAGTGGATATTCTTCAACTGATCCAGAAATGTATGTAATGGGGCACTTAAGGTATTGCGGCACCCCTTAATACCAAAGCAAGCGGTTTTGTTATTTAAAATAAAAAATAAATACGACACGCATATGGCACGATTTCAATTCGATGAGATCACGCAGCTAAAGTAATTGTTGGCATTCTTCAAAAAACAATAGGAATATGCCTTGCGCAGCACCCTTACTTTCAAAATCCCAGATGTGCCTTTCCAAAGACCTATGGTCATTTCATTGGCATATCCAGGATTTTGCAGATTCCCATATCCGGGAATTTCTATTTTGCACCCTTATGCAAATTAGGCAATTCCATCTCAATATTCATTTACTCTACAATAAACTACTAACAGAAACGAAATAAAATGGAAGTCAAATGTTTGTGTAAGTTGGACAAAATAACATAAAAACACCGGTGACGTCAAGTTGAATGCTTGTTTGGACCTTAGGTCTCTGCGAGTTCTGCAAGTGACTACTTTTACACAGGTGTCCACATTATTTTGTCCAACTTCTGTACCTTCTAAACGACTGTTGTGGATTTTCAAAGCTTTTATTTCTATTATAGCAATTTTTATTGGATATACATTGCTTAGACACTGCTGCATAAAATTATGGAAGTTTTCTTATCGGCTTTACCGATAAGAAAACTTCCATTTTATGCACCATTAAAATGCACCTTTAGGTAAACTTATACTCACCGCGGTGACGTCGTCCATCATCGATTTGACCCAGTCGATGGCTTCCGGAAAACAGGACCTGCAGGTTTCCGTACGACCATGATAAAACTGTCTGGTGGAAGCCGTGACATAGGTCGGGGCAGGACTAAAATTAACATTAAATACAACTAGTGTTGAATTTTTTCAGACTACTACAAGATTACCTTTAAATTAATTTTTAATTTAATGAATTAAAAAAATTCTAGAAGAAAAGATAAAGTAGGACTTAAATCTATATTATCTACAGCTGTCAAATATGCATCCACTATTTTTATGCCGCAACTTTCAAAAGTTTCCTTTACTCAGATGTTTTTGCTGAGTTTCGCTTTTTCAACCTGGTTTCACCAGGTTTTTTATGGAATCACATAAATTCAATTATTCTCAACGCATTTTTACAACATTTTTTATTTAAACAAATCTTATATCAAGTGAAAAGCGATGATGCAGAAATCAATCATGCGAAAATTTCAGGGGTGTACAGTGGGCCGCCTTTGGCAGTGTTAGGATTAGCGACGCTGGTAAAGCATCACTAAGCCGCACCTGTTATTCTCTACATTGTAGAAACAACCATAACCGTTTCTACCATTCAAGTCTTTCAGATGTTAAGATCAGCAATTTTGATGACACGAGGGACCATCATAAGCTATCCAACACTGATCACTATTCAAATATAAATAGTAGACCAGTATTAAGTAGTATTCATTGACCATCCTCTCTTCTGGGAGGAGATCAATGATTACTTTTGGTTAATTTCAACTTCCATCTGCAACAGTCCCTTTTTCCTATTGGACCCATTAGTATAGTGGCATTCAAATAAGAAAATTACATGCCTGCATAAAACATGATTTAAGTGATTTTTGAAGGTGCCGAGTTTAAATATTTGGGTCCATTTTTGCAAAATTTGATTTTGTTTGTAGAATATCCTTTAATATTCAGCTGTGAATAAAACAGTTTGTTAGTGCTAACGTTAGAAAACAATACGATATCTTAAAAAATTTAAGATATTTTTTCAATTGGTGTCTACTTGACTAATGAAATTATGCCATTTCGTACATCTGAGTATTGCAATAAAAGTGACAATGGCAGGCTGAAATAACCAAACTCTTTATATGGTTTTCATTTTAATATTTGTTATATTATAGTATTTGATTTATATAACTACAAAGGTTATCACACCAAGGGCCCAATCTAACACATTTTAAAAATTTTCTTCCTCTACTGTACACAATTTAAAGAATTTTTAAAATGAGTTAGTTTGGTCATTTGGTGTGATAAACCCTTACATAATATAATGTTTGGTGTTTGTATAAATCAAATACTATAATGTAATAGAAAGGCTAGAATTTACGAAATAATCTAATAATCTTAATGTTTGTACTTTTTTTTTGCCTGGGCAACACTGGGCTTACCTCCTAGTAGTAATAGATGATATGTTACATATATGTTATAGTATTAAAATGATTTAAGTGTCATCAAAATATGGAATGTTAAGCTATTGCACAGGCATAACATATAATTTAAGGTACACATTAATGAGATACATACCGACCATGCAGCCTATAATAAGCCAACTGTATTGCCATTTGAACATAAGCTTCTGGGTGAAGCTTTAGTGGCCGAAGAAAATCTTTACCATATTGGGAATAGCCATCACAAAAGCACTGGACGTCATTAGCCTAAAGAACGATAGCAATAAATTTGATTTCTATCTTTACCTCTTTAAATTCGATCGATTCGAACTTACCAGTTCCCGAAACTGAAGTCGTGCCGATTCTACTGCAGTTATGATGCGATCGTCAATGACAAACTCTAATCTTTGAGGATTAGGAAGATTTCTTATCGATCTTGTTCCCTAATTAACAGCCAAAAATTAATGAATAACAACTTTGTTTACATCAAAATTTCTGGAAATAATTCAATATATACAAAGTACAGTAGAACCTCGAAAACTCCCAAATTTCTGTATAAATAACCCGAAGATTATGNATCGTCAGTGGCGCGTTATGGCTTGGTGGGAAGCAGCAAATTTGAATTAAGTCGACACCTTATACGGTGTCCCCTAAGACATTGTTCTTCGAGGGATTTTTTCGCGAAGTATTTATTTTTATACAAGATTAGTTAGGAACCCGGTGTGAGCGGGGGCTTCGGGCTATTGCCCTTTTTGCCCATAGGATAACGCGCCATCGGAGATCGTATCTCGTTTTAGCATTTCGTTCTTTAGGGAGGAAAAAAAAACTTTTATTTCTCATTCCCGAAATAAGAATCTTAAACAAAATGGCGGACGTATTCCGAACTTTTCTCCGAGACATCTTTTGTGGGGGAGTCCTGCACCTTTTGGCGCAAATCTTGCAGCGATACAAAGGAAGCAAATTCGTTCCTGGAGGAAATTTTGGCAAGAAATTGCCAAATCAATCCGGTCTTTGGTTTTCGCCTTTTCTTCAGTTGTTGGGCCAACGCCCGGCGCGGTATACCAATCGTTGGCAGGGATTTTACATTACGGAGATCCCCGCTTAGATTAAGTAAATGGGGTGTGGCACAACTTCGGCGTTCCGGCATTACCGATACTTCCGAAGTTTAAAATTCGTCCTTGGCGCATTTCCAGAAGTTCCGCAATCTTAGTGTCTTGATTGCCCCGTTACTCTTTCTTCCATTGGCATTATACGATATCCGTCGTAGACGAGGTGTATTTTTCCCCCATCCAACACAAGCACCAGTGTTTTTAAGTACTAATTTATTTACTTTACCGTTTGAAAAAATCTTAAAACAATACAAAAACTTAACAACGATAACAAAATGGTTTCTCGCGCGTTGCATTTTCTCGGGTCCGTCAAAATTTAATGGGGGGATCGAAGGTGGCAGTTCCCATCCGGTCGTTGGCGTGGCGAATTTAACGGGGGAATTCTTTAATGTAAAGAATTCTCTAGTTTGGCGGGGGAGACGAGAGTGGCCGGTAAAAATCCGAAAGGACGGAAAATTCTTAACGGAATTTGAAAAATATTCCGAAAAATCGACAGACGCGATGATTCCGCGAACCGGTGCGGCGGGGAGGCAGTTGGGGTGGCCAGTAATTCCGGGACGTTTCCTGAATTATTCCAGACCATCCGCCGCCGTAACGGGCGACGGGAATTACGAAAATAAAGAAATTCGACGGTAAGTAACAATTTCCGTCCAGGTCGATGCAAACAGGAGTACCGTCCGACAGCCATATTGCCTCCTCTAAACGCCCCTAGGCGATTTTTAAGGCAGTTTCAAAACTAAACTGGTTGCGTCGTCTCTTAAAAATAATAGCATCCGGCCCGATTGACCCGGACGCTATTAATTAAAAATCCATTGGGTTTCTGGTCCGGAAGAGCGGGAGCCACCGAGTCCCGTCCGGGATTCACAGGTTGGAGGTGGTGACGATATACTGCATGTCGGACAAGGCGTGACACAGGCTCTCGAACAACCTCTCGGGCACGGTTCCAGGATTCTTGCGGAAAGCGGTGATGCAGAAACCGATCCTACAAAAATTTCAGGGGTGGTCAGTGGCCGCCTTCGGCGGTGTTAGGATTAGTGAAGTTGGAAAAGCGACGCCTCACCTGTTATTCTCTACGTTGTAGAAACAACCGTAACCGTTCTCTACCATGGGCATGACTCCGCCCGTTACCGATGTGTAACCCGTACAGCTGGTGGACAGGATGAACTTTCCGCTTCCTCCGCTAACAAGTTACAATAACAATAACAAGTTACTTTAAATAAGCTGGTGGCGGCCGAGAGTTAAAAAATTAAATTTTTACCTCTTTTCCCAGGAAGGATCCAAGAATATTTCCGGAATGGGATCTCCGTTTTCCATGCAGATCATAAAAAGTCCCAGGAAGTGTCTGTCACACCCTTAAATACACAATAAAACACTTACTTAAAATAATCTTTAGTCTCTAGAAAATTAAGATATAGCCTAAAAGCCGCAGTTTGAACCCGTAGGCCCGGCCACCATAAATCTCGTATTAATATTTTATTAGCCTGGAAACAAAAATAATGATTTTGATTCCTACTGGCAGATAAGAAGAAAAATTTACCTCTATTATTTGTACACTCGGCCATTAAGTGGGTGAATTTTTCGATGGCTCTCCTCAGTAATTTCATCTGCTCCGACGGCTACAAAAGAACATCGTGGTTAATAAACTCTTATTTCTTTCAATTTGTGCCGTAATTCGCTACGCGTGCAGGCAGGTCAAATGTTAAGAGCAGAACCAACCAGTAAGTCGGCCAATGGTGTAGTTCGTTTCGTACTAAACGGATTAAGCCATTGATCCGCTTACTTAATTTTTTTTCGGCTCTGTGGGCACTAAGTGGGCCTCTTTTCGCAAGCCCATTATGGGTTCGGCTAGGCCCACAATGGGGCTGCTGGGTGGTGAGGGACGGGGCCCGACATATCCGAATGGACCACCCCCCGAAAAATTCCTGGAGATTTTTCGACCCGTTCGGATTCGAACCCAGGTCCCCCAGAGCAGTAGGCTGCCGCCTTGACCGCTCGGCCATCCGGCCTCGCTGTAAGTGAGTGCAGACTGTGCTCCCATTGTCTTGCCACAATAGCTATTCAAAATGTGCACTGCCAGTCAGAATCCTGCCAGCTGTGAGGAATGCACAGTGATAAGATTTCTGTTAGCAAAAACTGTACACTGTCCCAAGGATTATTTACATATTTAAACAAACAATTATTTATTGTGATATCAACACAATGCGGGATGCAATTTTTAATCATATTTTTACTTTATTTCATTTAAAATATATGCTTTCCACCTCAATTAGTACTGTAGTGTTTTGCCCCTGTAGATCATACTTTTCCATTAGCAATGGAGTCGTGCCAGTCATCTATCTAACTCGTTTCAGGGGAAAAGTTTTGAACTGAAGTAACATGACTTCTGGATTGCATTGGAAGTTTGTATATAGATAATTGGGGCCACATGTCCCTAAGCCTTCTATATCTGGTCTTGACTTTCATGCATCTAACTCCATTCTCAAGATTAAGGAAGGCCAGACAGATTTTGTTAATATTACAGTGGGAATTTATAGGTCTATGATTTTTTCATATTGCAGCCCAATAACAATAGCAGAACAAACAATTTTGGGCCAGTTTAAAACATTATCCTTTTATAAATTTCAGCCAGAGACAATGTTTACAACTCGAAGATAAAATAAAATTCTTCATTAAAAATAACCAATGATATGACATTAAAAACATATACTTTAAAATCTTGACAATGACTTTTCCTTGTAGGATCCTTGTAATTTAAATTGACCCATAATTGTTCGTTTGATCATTATTATTTAAAAACAACTGTAAAGCTGTTGAAATCCATCATTAACCATGCAAAGTTTATGGAGAGAATATGGATGAAAGTACAGTGAGACAATGGTATTGTATGTTCAAAAATGGTCAGACAGATGCCCATAGTGACCACAGATGTGGCCAGCTGTCCGTGGTGACAGATGAACTCATACAGAAGATTGATGAACGGGTTAGAGAGAAATGTTGATTCACACTTTCAGAACTTTCTAGTGAGTTTCCACAGATTTTGCATGCAATTCTTCATGAAGTGATCATTGACATGGCTGAAATCACAGGCAGTGATGTTTTACAACAATGGAATACAAAACTTGTAAAACACTATGACAAGTATTTAAATTTGGCTGGATACTATGTGAAAAACAGGGCAAAAGTTTCATTGTAATGATGTTTTTTTAATAATAAAAAGAAAACAGAAGTTACTTTCGAGATAGTCTATATCCAGGGTGGCCAAGCTCCTTGATAGTCCGAGCCATTTTTCAAAATTTGAAATTTTTCGCGAGCCACAATTAAATACGTATTAAAAAGGTGTGCAAAAAATTCCAGATTACATATTATATCCGTAGCAAGAGTGATACAAATTGTTTCCTCCAGAGCACAATGTCAACTGTCCGTTGCAATGACAGTTTACAAATTCAAAATCGGTCTGGAGTCGGTCGATAACGGACGATTACGCCACTGTTTATGTTCGTTCGCGCAGTTTTCGATGAGTCATATCATTCTTAACTTGGACGGAAATGAAATTTGTTACAACGTTGCACTTAGTCTTTCATATTTGTTGTTAGTAATTTAAAAGACATTTTGAAACACGTACGAAACGATAATAATTTTTTAAAATATAACAACACAAAAATGAAAAGGGAACTCGGGTACATTTATTGAGAGCCACAAATAATCCTTCAAAGAGCCGCATGTGGCTCGCGAGCCGCAGGTTGGCCACCCCTGGTCTATATAATAATCTTTAATAGTTCTAAATTAGATGCAATTTTAGCAGAGAAATTTTTAAAAGTAAATATTCACATAGTTTATCTTTTATTGATGCATTGAAAAAAAAATTAAATAAAAGTTTACATTTTGTTTTCTTAAAATTTCTTTTTTAAAATTTTTATGAATTATATTTTTTTGTAATTTTGTTAAACAAGTTACTTAAGCAATGATCATGCCCAATTTGTTAATATTAAACAAAATATCTAATTGCCTGTTATTGAGCTATGCTTATCTAATAATTTAATTAATTATATAATTGGTCTAAATGCATAAAGACTATTTACTTACCTTTACAAAAGTATATAGTTAACTAAATTAGTAGCTCAAATATAGCCTGAATTGATCAATACACCTTTAACGGTTGATGAAGTTTAAAAATTCTAAAGTTTTTGACTGGGTTTATGGACCCTATTCAGATGTAAACAGCTGAAAGTGGAATAAGTGGAATGGAACAGTTGCATTCCACTTCAACTGTCCATACACAAAGATAACTCATTGATTGGTCTTAACTCAGATTGAAAATGATAGAGTTATTTAAAACATCATCAACTGTTACACATGCATTGATTAATTCAGCTGAGTAATTAGTGCTTAGCTGATCCTTAGTGGTCCAATAAATCTCGCAATCAGGTATTTGGTTTAAACCAACTTTCTAATCAATATAGAATACTTTTAATAAAATTTCCATTATATCACTAAATGAATAAACCAGCAAAATAACCATTTACTTTGGAAAGTAAACGTTTATGTTCATTTTTTAAAAGGCATTTTCAGGCTGGATTTGAGTTTGATTAAAAATGGACAAAAATATTCACTTTCAAAGTGGTTCTTTTGCTGATTTATTGGTTTAGTGACATAGTGAAAAGTATTTTATTAATATTAACCAGTAATTGTGTTTTGTTTTTTATAGAATACTTTTGTTAACCAACCTGATAATGAAACAACAACAGAATAAAATATAAAATATTTTATGTTCTATTTTGTTTGAAAGGTAATAAGGTCAAGCTTCTGGTAATTTTATTACCTTAAATCAAAGGTTTGCTAAAATATTTAACTTCAATTTTCTTTGCTTTCTTTACTTTAAGTTAAAATCTTTTATAGAATTTCAATGTTCTGGCAAAGTTTTGAACTTTAGTTCTTGTCACAGAATACAAAACATGAACAATTGAATAGCATCTACTATATAAGATTCTTCTGTGCGTACACTATGTGTGTAGAGATCCTTTTTAAAGTTTAATTATTAATAAATAAAAAGTTGAAATAAATTCTGTTCATATATTTATTCTTTCAATTACTCAAAACTTGTGCATTATATATTGGGTTGAACCAAAAGTTTGTTCGGGTATTTACATAATTGCTCGTCTATGGCGCCTCTGTTGTGCTTATCGAGTTTTAACTTGTTTAGGTTGACATTACGAATATCTGCATATTTATTACGTAAGTTTAATTTCAGCTATTTTTTAAAATTTTGTTAACTTTTAAAGAAAAAAAAACATTAAAATGGAAGATAAGAAGGTGCATTTTCGACATCTGATGCTCTATTATTTCCAAAAAGGAAAAAATGCAACAAAAACTCAAAAAAAGATATGTGCTGTATATGGGGAGGATGCAGTTACTGATTGGACATGCCAGAAATGGTTTTCAAAATTCAGGGAGGGCGATTTTTCTCTCAAAGATGCACCTCGGTCTGGATGACCTTCAACCATAGAAGATGAGTTCGTAACAGCTTTAATTCAAAATGATCAGCATAAAACAACATGAGAGATAGCCGACATCTTAAAAATATCCCAAACATCTGTTGTCAGACATTTGGCTAGCCTTGGATATACTTCCCGTTATGATGTTTGGGTTCCCCATAAGTTAAGTGAACGAAACCTTATTGAGCGTGTTTCTGTATGTGATTCACTTTTAAAACGCAATGATGATCCCTTTTTAAAGCGATTAATAACGGATGATGAAAAATGGATCGTTTACAACAATATTCAGTGCAAGAGATCTTGGAGTAAGCCAGGTGATCCTCCAGTGCCACAACCTGAAGCTGGTTTGCATCCCAGAAAAGTAATGATTTCAGTTTGGTGGGACTGGAAAGGGGTTCTTTATTACAAGCTTTTACCCAACAACCAAACAATTAATTCCAATAAATATTGTCTCCAACTGGATAAACTAAAGGCTGCAGTGCATCAAAAACGTCCAGAACTTGCAAATCGATGGGGAGTGGTATTCCATCATGATAATGCAAGACCGCACATATCGTTAAACGTGCGCCAAAAACTTCTAGACTTTAACTGGGATGTTTTGAGTCAACCTGCATATTCTCCAGATTTTGTTCCCTCAGACTATCATCTTTTTCATTCACTGCAGAATAATTTAAATGGCATAGAATTTCAATCTCTAGAAGGTATCAAAAATCACATTGATAATTTCTTCAATCAGAAACCCACCCAATTCTGCACAGACAGAATTATGAAACTACCCGTCAAGTGGTGTAAGGTTATTGAACAGAACAGTGAATACATTGTGGATTAAACGTTTTCATTTATTTCAAAATAGTATATTTTATTTATTTCTAAAAACTGAATGAACTTTTGGTTCAACCCAATAGAAGAAAAACAATTTAAAATTGGCAAACCTTTGCCCAGGTGAGTCTGTCAGCCACCGTCAGAGATCCTAACCCAGGTCCCTGGCCGGCACTACTGCAAAGGTCGGAAATGTACTGAAGCTGCCTCTCGCACTCAAGAGCAGTAAGGGGTTCTCCCCTGTCATCCACAATGTCGAACGCAAAAATGTGGCCCTTACACAAGACTATAATGTGAGTTGGTCCCTGTTCACCTTCGGATTCTTTAAAAAGAAATACATTAAATAATTATAATGACTAAAAACTTTTAATATATGAATCAAAATTATAATTGTAACTAAAATTATTAAATAAAGTAAAAATGTGTCAATTTTAATTCTAGTACAATAATAAAAAAACGTTAATGCATAGAATTTAATACATATGAAATAAAAAATCTAATTTATTTAAAAATAAGCATTAGTCATTCATTGCAATCTACAAATTATTAATAAAACTTTGAATTCAGAGAAAAAATTCATTATAATAAAGTTTATATTAAAAAAAGTATAATACTCACACAAAAATTATTTATTACAGTTCTTTATTTTGTCATTTATTTTGCTTTCTTTTATATAGTTTTGTTTTCTCTTTTTAATGCTGATAAATCCCTGGCTTACTTGATCATCACAAAAGTTGGAAATTCTGGTATGAGTTGCATTTCTAACTACATCAATGCTATTTCTAATATGTCATATGTTTCACTGCATATGAACACAGCAAAGCATTTGCTCGCGCTTTTCTATTTGAACCATAGCAAATAAAACCTAACGATAGTGTTGAAATGAAATAACTCTATAATGGGCATAAAAAAGATTGCCAATAATCGTTATTACATAAAATGCCATAATTTCTGAAATGAATACTCTGAAGTCAATTTCAGTTAATAGATTTTTCAGATAATTGACGTTCTACTGTATTATGAAATTTTAAATAACTGTACTTTATTGAATATTCTTAAAAAATATATTAAAAGATACCTGAGTTACTTCATATTTTTTATTTAGTTAGAACTTCACGAATTCAATCAAATTAAATGATAAAATAACTTTTTTTATAAATTATCTTACTAAAATGTAAAATTTTGATATTTAGGATTCTTAATTAAACACCAAAAACCAATCTTAGAGTAGTTAATAAAGAGGAATGCTAATATTCAATAGACTAATTTGTTTGACATAAGACACCAGCATAGTATAGATTATGTGGCAATTTATCTCCATTTACTTCTCAATTTTAGTTTTCACAGGCAAACTGTTTTCAATTTGCTCATAAAGAGCAAAGTGAGAGTGAAATGCAAGGAATATGATCAATGTATCCAAGTCCAGTCACTCAAAACAAACTCTTAAATCCTGGAACATTGAAACTCAGATTTCTTAGTGTAAAGAAAATGCTTTCCCCATCTCAGTGTTCTTAGATCTCAGTGTTCTTAGACCCAAATTGATCTAAATAGCAATATGTAACTGGTTCAAATACCATTATTCTCTAGGAATTATCATATCCACATATTCCAGAAATACTAGCCTATCAATAACTTTATGTTACCCAGATGCATTTTGGAAATTACAATATTTCCCTCCTTAGTGGCTTTCTTTCAAACAATCCAACAAAGCACAAACACTTGTTTTGATACTACAATATTTCAATATTCGAATTGTTATTTTTTTTTAATACTATTTCCATAATAAAATTTTATTTGTTGTTCTTCACCTCATTCTCCAACTAAATAGGTTGTAGAATGAGGTGAGGAACAACAAATGAAAGTAATGATGGCAATAACCATGTGGAATGTGTATGATTTAAAGAAAAAACACAGAAAGAAATGATTTTATTACGGAAATAATAAAAAAATAATAATAATTGGAATATTGAAATATTGTAGTATCAAAAAAGTGCTTGTGATTCGTTTGAAAGAAAGCTCACTGAGGAGGGAAATATTGTAACTTCTGAACTGCTTCTGGGTAATATAAAGTTACTGATAGGCTAGTATTTCTGAAATATGTAGACATGATAATTCCTACAAAATAACAATGTTTAAACCAGTTACATATTAATATTTGAAAAACGTAATAGAAGCGATAAGTTGAATTATACGATCTAAACAGAACTGTATCCAAAGAAATAGTACTTTTAACAGAATAGAATTATTTCACTCTGCACATACGAACGTCTATTTATGTTCTATGTTTATGTTATTGTGTCGTGTACAATATTTTGTTACAAAAATAAATAAAAAATAAAATGTATGAAAATCATGTGTCATATTTATTACTAGCATTTAATTGCAATCAAATAATCAAGTTTTGAGAATGATTAGATATAGAAAGCAAAATAAAAATCCAAATTAACTTTTGTTTGTTCTGTTAACTATATGTTATTCAATTCTTGTTAGAAACTTTTGTGTAAACCATTTATTTAAATGCTTCCAAATAAGACTTTACTCTACCTCGACTTCACAGAATGATATGTAAAAATTACCACTCACCTGTTTTAAAATAATTAACGAGTCTGTCTTTCGTTTCCCCGGGAATACGACATGTGTTGAATAGACGTAGAAACTGGTCCATGCTCCACGGAATGTTTTTGGAGTTATAATACGGCCTTAACTGCTCTCTAAAATAATTATTGCAAACATTTTAATGTAGAAATAATAAGCAAAAAATTGTCATAAATAAAACATTTAGTAAGATTATGATTAAATGCCAATATGTTATGATAAAAATTTATGTATATGAATTTTTATATGGTCACTCCACACCAAGTTGTATTAAATCTGCCATCCAAAAAGTAACATTGCAAGTTACACAATATTAAAACAATAAAAAAGATTATTTCTAATTTCTTAAAAGCATTATCACATAACTTACGTTCTGATTAATTTCCAAAACTGTGCATAGTAATGAATATTAAGAGCAGAAATTTCTATCTGATTTTTGGCCAGAGACATGACGTCGGGCACATATCCAGCCATGTTCATTAACGGAATCATTGGAGATCTCTGTGACAAATATGCAATATCCTCCCACCATTTTTCTAGCTGCAAAATAATTTAAATAGATTAAGTATAATGTATTTTGTCATACAATCTAAAATTTATTAGTACTTTGAACATAATAAAAATGAATGTAATTATAAAAATAGTTTATTTATATATATTTATACAGAAATTCACATTCATCACACATTTTATTAAGTTTACGGGTATGTGTAAGAATATAAAATATAAAAACTATTTTGTCCTTCATGCAGTGGCATGCAATCATTGGAAGCAGTGGATGTGCCGCTTCCCTCGTATTTTCTAAAAAATAAATACATATTAATTTTAATTATACGAAAAGAATCGCGCAATATTTTATTATAACCGCATTATATATCTTATTACAAATTTCTATACTACACGTGAAAGAAAGATAACATCGCTATTGTATATTCGAATATTAGTGGCGGAATGGAAGCGCTGTATTGTCAGCATCCGAAAGCCAGATTCACACACGTGCTTTACAGAGTACCAACCTCACCCAGTTTAGCTGGTGGAAGCCTATGACCTTGGGTGGATGCTACACATATACCGCATCCAATTCTATCTGGGACCAGTTCCAGGCTGTTAGCCGCCTACCCACTAGATATTTGGCCACCCTCGCCCGATTATGTGAACTGTGAGTAGATTTATAACTTAACCTGACTGATAAGAATTTACTGGTATGTTTTTAAGATAGTTCTGTATAGTTGACAGGAGTTTTAAAAAATCCATTAAAATATTTGATATTTTTATTGCATTCTCCCACTTTATATTACTCACGAATTTCAATGTGATATTACGATTTCGTATATCCCATCTTTAAGGGGATGTAGAAAAAAATGTGTACAATTCTTGTATAATGTTAAAAAATTAACCGTTACTTTGACAGCATCATTTACAACTAAATTTAATGAATGAGAGAGATGCATGAGGTACAGAAAAAGCTCTAGAATTTATTTTCCTTAAATTTATGATTTATGTATCCGTTTGTCATAAAAATTTGTATTTCCACTTCTTTCCCAACACTACAAATATTTGAGTACAAAGTAACCGGTTTTGACTTATTTCTACTTAAGAAGTAGTTAAATAATTAAGCGATTAGGGAATTGGAAACATAAACAAAACCCTGATGAAAGAGCCGAAATTTTACTTAAACGAAAGCTTAACCGAATCAATCTCTAGCCGAGTACAGTGGGGACCGATTTCTTCAAAATATTAGATGTAATAAAGACAGAAATTTTTCCAGTTCAACGAGGGTGACCGAAAAGTTGTAAATTTTGGAAAATTCTGTGGTCCTAAAATGAATTAGTTAGAAAACAAATGACAGACAATCTATTAAGTTTAACATATTTAGATTTTTACAGCTATGGTGAGAAATGTTTAAAATCTACAACAACCCTGTCGCGTCNATTCGGAATGTAATTGCGATATTGAAAATTTATTTTAAAAAAGTTTTGGCTCGAGATCATATAATGAAAAAGAAAACATTATTAAAAGAGAAAGGCCAATGCCTAAGTTAAATATAAACACTTCAAAAAAAATTTGTTTGACATTTTCATGATAAAATGGCTCTGTAAATGCATAAAAATGCAAAAATTGTTTTGTTGGCTCGCCTACTATTTTCAAATGAAATTAGTGTATGGAATAAGAATGGCTTTGACAATTTAGCTGGCAAAAGACACAAAAAAATCGTATTTGAAGCAATTTGGAAATCAAAGCAGAATAGAATTTAACATTAATAAATAATATAAAATAAATATTGAAAATTATAACGAGATAGTTACAGCTAATAGATATATTTAAATTAATAGATGTTATACGTTTTTATCAAAGCAAGAATTGGCATAGGGAATCTATTGAATCTAATAACAGAGGTAATTATATTGAACTTCTTTATTTATTAATTACGTCAGATAAATAATCTATTAAAAATACATTTAAAGAATTAACTGATTGCCCCTGGAAGTCGGCTTCTTACAGAAACACAGCTTCCCTATCATCAAATGTCACGGCACGCCACTGCCTTCATGTGATTTATGGAAACAAGATTTATGAATTTCAGAAGAACACATTTTTATCTATAAAACTAATATTTAAAAACCAGTTTTAATATAATGATGAAAGTGCATACACTCACAACATACCTTTCCCTTGTAGACAGCTTCCAGAACCTTAATCCTTGCTGTTGATAATAATCACAAGAAACTTTGGAACTAATTCATTATATTAAACACATGTTTTAAATGTTAGTTTCAATGATTTTTAAGATTATGAACTGCTGAAGTACCTCTAATTTACCTTAAGTTACTATTTCTTGATTAAAATAAATATGTAATTTCCAGAAGTTCAATAATTGTTTCAATTTACCAAATTCGTCTTCTGATTCTAATTTATTCAAATTCTTCTAATATTTTATAACTTTGTATCAATATTTTTATTATAATAATAAAAACCACAAAACAACAAATGCGTAACCAAATAACAAATTTCAAACCTTTTTTGTTTTTTAATAAATCCAACATAGCGCATGTCAGATTAAGCTTACATGGACTTAAAAAAAGAATAAAATGTTTTGATTAAATTTTATTTATTGTTATTTATATTTTGCATATGTTTACAATACACAGAAATTTTTCTGCCAGTGCATCAAGTGTTTTTTTTTTATGTCAAACTGAAAAAAGTAGCTAAATCTGGCAACACAATCCGCCACAAAGTGAGCTCAACTAAAGTGATGGCCACTGTTACAGTACAACCTGCTCTATCAGTGAGTCATAGATGTGCAGTGATAATGGAAAGTAGCTTCAACATCAGACAAAACCCCTATCGACCACCACAAAAGCTCAAATTGCCCACTAGTGGACGGTAGGGACCAGGTTGACTAACACTTACACTGGTTTGATCTATAATTAATGGCTCAAACCCTTAGAAGAACATATACTGCATCATGTATATACACTCCCATTACCATCTATCTAGCCATAGATCATACTTTTACTGTAATGTCAAGCATGCAAACCAAGTGGAACATCTATTACATTATGATTTTCTGCATAGATTATGTCAATGCATTCTTTACAAAACTTAATTATTTAATATTTTAGTAAGAATTACTTATAATTTCTAATAAATTAAAATATCAGTATGTAAAAAATAAATACCAACTATACTTTTAAAAGTTTTATACTTTCTATAATTTTTATTATTGTTATATAATTTTTAATTGTTATTTTATTGTAAATTGTGTTTATATTGTTATTATAATTAGAAATCTACGGTCCTAAGACATTTCCAAATATATGTAAAAATAAATAAATAATTTTTACTTAAATTACTAAGTAAACTTTTATATTTTTCACAGTTATTTACATAATAAAATAATTTAATACAGGATTACATTAAACTATATGACACAACTCCAGATAATACATGCAACGTTTGCATAATGAATAATGTTAGAATAATGTAAATTATAACTAATCATTATGTATGCAAATACATAATGATTAGTTATAATTTACATTATTCTAATAGTGTTTCTCCCAATCTTTTTGGATTAGAAACAATGCTTTGAATTTAATAAGATTCCCGTGACACACCATAATTTTTAAAATTGCCACAATCGTAATACACTTTCATACATGTTTCTGCTTATTACAAAAGAAATAATTGCATCAAATATAACAGTTAAATATAGTTAAAAAAAGTTATTTAGTTAACAAAAATACCGAAAAGTCCATGCCATCTGAGATATTTATTAGTTTAAAATTTCTATATATTCTTTAAATTTTATTTTATATGAGTCTTTTTCATTATGTAGTATTTTGATGTTATTTCTATTTATTATACAATTATTACTGTACTTTTAGAATGTTGAAACCATGATTAATTATTATATTGCTGCTTCATACTCTTTAGTTCTTTTTTCTAATGTTTTTCCAGTTTCACCTATATACATTTTAGGGTTATTACAATTGCATTTTATTTTATATACTGTTCCTTCTCTCTTAAGGTCATTATTTTGGTTATTTATGTTGTTATGCTGATTATTAATTCTGTTACATATGTTTTGCAATATTTTTTTTGTCAAAGATGGGGCCAAATTAACTTTATTTTAAGATTTTTATTGCATTTTTCAAAAATATTATGTATATAAGGAAAGGTATAATAATTTCTGTCCTGTTTGTAAAAAAGTAATAACTTGGAGTTGCTGTGAGAAAATCAACCGACACAGATTAAAGTGATTTTATATACAACTGTATTATACAGCATCCCTACTACGTAAAAGCTCCAAAGAGTTGGATGCTGGCATACGCATAAATGTACAAAACTTTTGTGAGGGAATATGTCAATGCAATAAATTTTTCGATGATTTGCATTTTAGCAAATACTTTATTCTCTCTTCGGTTGGATGATGGTAAAAAGGTAAAAAATAAATGAAATTTTAAAAGAGAGCTTATTCAAAATTCTAAAAAATATTTAATATTTCTTTCATATACCTCTTGCAGCACACTTGTTTGTCATGACACACAAGTGTGTTGCAGCACACAGGTTGGGAAACACTGCTCTAATGAATTAATCAGTTTTAAAGGTATGCATTATTATAAACAAATTTTAATTTTCAAGTTTAGAAATGATTAATAAATTTTATAATTCTGTTATCTAAAATTACAAAAATGAATGAGAAAAACAAACAGAATTTTCTGTTTAAAGATGTAAATATATATTGAAGGTCAAGACCTTGAACTCATTTCTGCCATAAGAACTTATGAAGGACAACCTAAAAAAAACTGTGTATGGTGCCAATTAATAAAACAGATTCAAACTTAAATGCTGCCTTTGAGTTTACAACTTTAGATTTACATTATATAAAGTCCAGAAATATTTTGAAAGAAATATTAATATTAATTTTATCTACTTTAAGACTAAACATAAATTAAATTTGTGTAGAAATTACAGAAAATAATCTTCCATCATTGAGATCGGCTTGATACACAATTATCTTTGTTAGGTAAAAATAAAAAATTTCTGTGTTTAATTATTATCTATAATTTCTAAACTATCTTAATGTAAACTTACATATTTTTTTAATGTCTTGCTTTTATTATATGGATTTATGTTCTATATTATAAAGACAATTTCACGCTACCATTTGTTAAATATAAAACAGAAAACAAGCACAAGGACAGAATCTTTACATCTAATAACATAATTACATAAATTTCTGTTCTTTCTTTTGTAAAAATATTTAAAAATATAATTCAATTGTTTTGCTTCACAACTACATAAAATAATTTAAAAACAAAATATTAATAGATCTTTAAATTAATTTTAGTTTAAGTTGAAGAGATGAGATTAGATTAGAAATGAAAAGATATAGAGGAGAATAAGAACAAAAAGGTATTATTAAAGAGAAAAGGATGTAGTAGTTTGTGTATTAGAAAAATAAAAATGGAAACATATCGTAAATGATTGAAAACAGAGATATAAAATATAAATATAAAAAAGACAAGGAGAAGATAGAGAGAAAAAACTCAGAGAACAAGCAAGAAAGGAGGAGTGAACTGAGAGGAAATGGAAGACAATGATAAAAGAAGCATCAAACAAGACTGAAAGACTTTACTCAAATGACTTAGCAAGAGAATGCTGAAAGTTAAATAGACAGCAAAGGTTAAAATGAAAGCAAAAATATAAATTTTCAAATAAATTTATGATTAAAACTTATATAACATTGTTAAACTTTGATTAACTGTTTCTTTTCTTTAATGCTTGTTCCAAATTCTATTTTTATATTAACGCCACTTAAATATGGAAAAGCAAAATTTTAAATACTGTACTCACCCAATTTCTTTCTTGTTTTGATTTTTCTTTCAATTTGGCATGCAATTTGGCACCTTCTCCTCTTTCAAATTCAGTGACCAAAGCCTGCGTGTTTCTATATTCTTCGTCCGACACATGAACTATAACTGAAAACGGAATAAATTAATTATATTAAAAGATCTCCATGATTGAATTTTCAAAATAATTTGAAAAAATTATATTTTTGATTTTATATTTTACTAAATAATATAATATGATTATATTTATATTCTACTATTTGTATTAAAAACTGATATGAAATAATAAACATTCATTATCACATTACTTAATATATAATAAATTAATAGAGTTTGAGTGTGTTTTAGTTTAACCTCATTGCATTGAAACAAATCTTGATAATTCCAATTCAACAGAATAATTAACAAAAACACTAAAATGGCATATTCGCAGTCCAAAACTATCATCTATACTTTTGTTAAAGCAAATTATTTCAATTTACAAAAATAAAAAGAAATATAATTATACATATTTGATTTACAAAGATTATGATTTCATGTAAAAGATAAAGGTTCACAGTACAGTAGCCCCCCTATAACGCGAGTTCATATAATGTGGATTTGATATATCGCGGCGAAAAAATTGTGACCGTATTCATATAAAGACACTAAAAGAGACTCTTAAAATGTGGTTAAACGTCATCGCCGACTCGTGTCGTGACAGGATTGGTCGAATCTGGACCAATAGTGGATGAGCAGCCGAACTACTTACACGCTATGGAGAGTTTAGGCGGGTAAGTTGAGTTTACTATTGTCTGTACAGTATATAAATTAAATACTGTAAGTCTAATACAGTACTGTAATTTTATACATTTCTTGTGAAAAAAACATTTCTTATTCAACGGCCATAAAAATTATTTCTATTAATGATGTCTCCAAAGTTCAACGAATTTTTTGCAGAAAAATAACTTATCAGAAAACGCGCCCACTGTTTGGTGCGCTGCTCTGCAATGAAAACAAGCTTAAGCAATGGCGTCGTCGAACAGTGCACACTCAGTAAGTAATCCTACAATTTTTTGTTTATAGCATAGTTTATACAGATTATTCCCAAAAAATTATACGTATTTTGGAAATGTTGAGTCAAATTAGTCTAGGAATCGATTAATTTTATGGAAGAAAACCTTTCAAACAGCCATAGTCTGTAAACTGCACACGTGTCGGGCTGTGATTGGCTCATGTATTTAAGGATTCCTACAACACGAAATTCTTATAAAGTGAAACGTATCTACTGCATTATAGGGGGGTCGACTGTATTATTATTTAGAAAACCAAGCCTGAATTATATAATAACCAAATGATAAAGCCAGAACTTGACTAATTAATCTAACTCTATCATTTGATTACTGTATTTTGACGAGTGTAAGTTGCACTTTTTTTACTACTTTTTGGGGCTCAAAATCATGGTGCATCTTATACTCGACAGGTAACCATTTTTACAGTGAAAGTATCTACAGTAATGGTCCACTCTAGGGACCAACCTGTGCAGTAGTCCGTTAAATAGATGGTCCCTCAACCAAATGGCTAGAGTACTAGATTATCAGAGTAGCGACACACGAGTCATCGCCGCAATGTTCTGTCAACTGTCATCACGTGACTTCTGAGTTTACATTAAGAAATTATGATTATTTCAGTTTAATAAAGCATTTTATTCATTTTTTTATTCAAGAATATGACAGATGGATGAATCGATACCTTTATTAAACTGAAATAATTCATGATGAATGGAACAAATGGATGATGACTGTTGACAATAAAAGTTTAACACTAACAAGGAGAATAAAACAAGCCAGCATTGCACAAGTGTGCGATTGGGTGCTGCGTGCTTGGGAAGGTATTAAAATGGAGATCATTATTAAGTCATTCAAGAAAACTGGAATATCTAATGCTCTGGGTGGTACAGAAGATGAGGCAATCTATGAAGATTCTGATGATTCAGTCAATACTTCAGGAATTCAAGAAAAAAGTGATGATGAATCAGTCATTAATTAATTAATTTAATGACGTCATAGATATGTTTCCTAATGGGTATAATTTACCAGTAGATAGCAGTGATTCAGTTGAAGAATTTCTTGGCCAGTATGATTAATAAAATGCATCTTTAGACAATTCCATTAAAAAAGTTTTTTCTAAATTTTTTGTCTCAAAATAGGGGTGCGTCTTATACTCATCAAAATACGATATTAGTCTATAGTATTTTGTATCATTTTCAATAATATGTATATTGATAAATGCTAAAGTATAAGAACTTTGGAAATTTTTCTGACAAAAGAGGAAGTTGGGAAAGTTACAAGCAATTTTTGGAATGTATATAATGCAAACAAAATGAAAAAGTTGTACTTATTGAATTTTGTTATTACTTTAACTTAATTATCCAACAGAATTAAGAAGAGTGAGAAAGAATAATTTATAATAACTCATATAAGCACATAATTGGTATATTAGAAGATCCAGCCTAACCCTGGTATTTTGTATAGTGTTAGTAAGACAAAACAAAAGATTCAAATAAGTAAAAGTCAATCATTCAAGTTGTACTGGTGTTCTACATTTAACTGATATTGTTAAAAAAAAAAATAGCTACCTTTTCCAAAATTTTAGACTCCTCTGGTAACATACTAGAGGTCCTATTACAATGCACCACTTATTTCAAGCTAGTGAATGAATGGAATCAGTGTAGTTATATATGTATAACAGTATTTCCTGTATTTATACTATTTTGTGTACATATAATTTAATTATCAAATCTTGTTTCACTGTAAAACAGATTTTATCAAAAACTTATCATTCCTGGAAAACTTAACACCTGCAAACAGTTTCTATTTTTTATCACCATTTTGATACATTTACAGGTTTAAATTCCATTTGTTGGTGTACAAATCTAAAGAAATATCTTTCACAAAAATAAAGTTATATTGTGTTAAATTTGTTCATCAAAACAGCAAAATAATTTTTATACACTACCAAGAAATTATTTTATTTCTCTTGTAGATTTATTAACCCCTTTAAATCTGTCCCCGATCTTCATGGGTATCTCTCCTAATTCTGCAGAAGAAGAAACTCAGATAATGAGCATTTTATAGTCCACAAATGCCTAGTTTTGATTTTGTTTTATGAAATTTTGTTAAAAGTAGTTCAACATTTTTATTTATTTTTTTATAAAACTATTAGAGAATAATTAATTTCTTGTATATTTTAAGCATAACAACGATAAAGTCATTAAAAATTTTTACCAGAATTTTATTTTCTTGCAGTTATTATTAATGTTTCTATAATTTTTTAACTTTTGATAGCTGCAGTAAAAATAGTATAAATAAATCTTCCTTATTACTTCCTAAACAACTTGTATTACCCACCGGAATCTAGATACTGTTGCAAAGTCTGATGCAAGGGAGGAACAGGAAGACTCGGCAACGAGTCGTCATTGACGAATGTCCTTTCCTTTTTACTGATAAAAAGCACGTCTCTGTCAAGATCCGTGAGATGTATTTTCTGTAAAAGAGAATATTTTTAATTAATCATTTTTTAATTTCATACAACTTAAAATAGACTCGGAACGTAACGTGCAACCTAGTAATATTTCTGTAAATATGTGAGCTATGATCTAATGCACATTTTATTATCATTAATTTAAATAATTTTGTTCGAGATTGCAAAGTAATTTGGTAAAACAATACTATTCTTGCACAAAAGTTATTTCAAGAGCTATTTTATCATTAAAATATTTATTTTTGGTAATAAAATATTTTAAACATCATACATTATACACATATTATAGAAATAAATGGCATTCAACTATTCAAAAATAATTATCTAAATATAGCAAATTTTTACTAGAAAATTTCTAAAACAAAAAATATAGAAAAACCTAAATTTAAAACCTGTATCAAAATTAAACTAGGACAAAGCTATTAATATGAATGGATAATCAGATGCTATTCACGAACTGCTCAGAGTTTAAATAAATGTGATTCTTCTAAGCATGCTTAACCTGGATTCGTCCAGGAGATAAAAGGTCTAAAATGTTTTATTATAAAAATATATTAAGGCTTATTTGTCTTCAGTATCTGATTTTTTTCTGTTTTAATCAGTTTATGAAGTTGCAATTCATAGGTATAACAGAATTTCACAGAAATGTAGTCTCTACATACATTAGTTTAGACATTTGGTTTTGCCTGAAGAATTTTATGGCTTAATTCAAATATATACACCACATTTATTAAAAAACTCATAAAATTTCTGAAAGAGAGATCAGTAATTTTCGATTTACCTCAGAATATTCAAATGACCAAAGATTTGTTGTACGGAACATAACCAAAATATGTGATATTCTCTCTCTCAATGAGAATATTATCTTTCTCGGAACCTGAAGGCATTGTTTTCTCAAACGTAAAGTATTATGTTAGCCAAACTGGCATTGAGTTGAAAAACAATTAACTAAATTAAACATTAAAATCAAATTCTTTAATTAAAGAATAAACAATTTTCATATTATGTGTTTATGTTTCCTCACTCTCTTTTCCCCCTTCAAGCCGTAGAAGTGCATTACTTTCTTAACACTTTTCTTTCTACAGTTAGTTGTTTAATTAATAATCTCTCTATTTTTTTTTTATGCCGTCCAAATATCCCACATCTTCCTCATTTTCTCTCAACTTCTCATTTGAGAAAAGTGATATACTTGTCTAAACATCTGTTTTCTCTCTTTTTAACTGCATCTATCAGTCTTTCTTTCCTCTTTATCCTTCAGAATTTTCTTTGTTATTCATTCTTTCCACGTAGTACATTTCAAAAGTTTGTATTGTTGATTTTTCTATCTTTCCAAGACTCCGGGTTTCTGAATTAAAAATAATTATGCTCCAAATGTAATTTAATAAAATGTTTTCTTCTGAAGAATTTCCTTTGTTATAGATTTATGATAAAACAAACCAGTAAAACCTTCGTTACTATGAGTTAAATATAATTATAGTAAAGCCTCGATCAAAATACAAACTGTAAATGAAACGACAGTATCAAGTATAATACTAGAACAATGTTTTACATAAATTTGATTAACAATTAGATAACGAACATAAGAAAAATATACAAATGAATACGAAACAAATTGATAATATTTTTTAAAGCTTAAAAATTAAGAAAACATTTTCAAATGCATCAACTCACTCTTAATTAAAATATATATAAATGAAACTATCAATAAATCGCAAATCTTTGAAGGAATAATGAAACTGCAAAGTACTTCCTGTTTTAGAAATAAAAACAGGATATCTTTTATCTGTTGAGTGAGTTAACTTGATAATTTAGTGTACTGTTTCCACTTTTTTCCATTGACCTACATTAACAAAATATAAAAAAATAAATGAGTAAAAAACTTAAATATGCTGTAAATTGAATACATTCCTTGTTTTCTGACATTTATTCACTTGAATGGTAGACAATAAATCAAAACCACTGGTAGCCCTAAACTGCTTGAACACATACACACTTTAGCTTATCATATACCTGGAAACAATTACATGCGGCTTGATGATGATAATGCTATAATAAAGTAGGAACAATGCATAACTACACATCATTTGAAACAAAATTAAAGATGCCATGTGAAAGAGAAACACATTAAAATTAATTTTAAGGTCACCTTTATAATGGAGTGTGTATTATTTTGCAATACTGATCGATCAAACCAACCTTTCATACATATAATCAGTGAACGACTTTTCGAACAATTAATACTGATTAAATTAAATATTATGATTTAGAAAAATATTGTTTAGCTACCGATTAAATGTATACTGATGTGATAAGTTAATCTTTTATTTATTTTATACCGTAAACACCATCACCGTGTCGATTAATATATAAAATATAATTAAATTAGTCAAAGAGATTTTATAGAAAGTGAAGTTAGTCTAAAATGTTTATAATTTACAAAAGTAGTAAAAGATATTCACCATTAATTTTAACACAAGACAAAAGAAAAATATTTTAAACGTGACATATTTGCACACTCGACCGACTCTATTAAACAATAGAGTAATCAGAAAAAAGAATCCGATTCAAACTGCTTATTGTCAAGTTAAACCTCTTTACCAAACCCCGTCATCGTCTAAAGTCAACGAGGAAGTAAAGGTTTCCGTCTATCTCGATAGCAGAGGAGATACGGATCTGCCCACCGCTCGTTCAAACTCGTTCAAAAAGTTGCATTTTCTTCAGAGCCGACATGGATACACCGGGCTCACTCGAAGAAACCTAACCGGTACCAAAGAAGTACCGTAGTCCGGAGTATCAATGGCTTGCGTTGCCATATCAAATCAATCGAAAGAGGTTAGGTTTAGATTCTGTTTCTATTATTAGCCAAAGAATTTAAAATTTGTATTATTCCTCAAACAAAATGAATAAATAATACTAACAATTTCAATTTTCAATATTCTAATTTTTTTTTTTTTAAGTTTGTTTCAATTAAAAACCATGGCCTAAATATTGTTAGATATATCATTAGATTCAATAACCTCTGAATTTTTTTTTCAGAAAAGGTTTATTTTTATGGACTTTAGAACATCTGAAAGAACTTTGAAACCAGAAATAAGATAATATCATATATAAACTAAACTTATTTACATTTTTGTTTAACTCTTCAGTATCTGATCCTATCAGATAAATACTGTGCAAAACATGTTTTATGACGCGTTCATTAAACTTCTTTACGTGCCACAAAAATACATAATTATAAATTAATGAAATTTATATAAAATCCTTCCTTCAAGTAATAATTTATTTTTTTCCTACTGCTAAATCAACTATTATTTAACTGCAAACATCTAAATTGTTATATAGAATCTGATTCTAATTGAATGACAGAAAAGCGTTCTTAGTTCTCTTTCCATCCATTCTCAGTCGACGCCACCATTTCGAATATACTTTTAAAAAGATAAAAGTCAGAAATTACAAATAAAATTATATTATTATTTATATTAAAATGCCATTTAAAATATAAAATTTTCCTAAACTTTTACAAAAAATTAATAAAAATTCAAATAAATTTCTTTTCCGTCTAAAATGCGAGTTACTTTTAATCCAAATTACTTTAACAAATAATATTTTTCTTTCATTTATCGAGTTAAAATAATTTACATGAAAAGAATAATATTTCAAAGCGAAATTTAATTAAATTTCTTAAAGGAAAGAAAAATACCTATTATTATTCATTTTGACAAAAGGTAAATTGTTTCCTTGTGCAATTAGATAGAGCATAAAATTTACTACAAACGACATAACTAGCGTTACTTAGTACTTCGAACTCGTTTCCTTTTTTTTATCCAATAAAAAATGTCAACGAAACATAGTTCTTCGACTCCAAGTCGTTTTTAAATCCATTTTCCAATTTAAAACGCCAAAGGAATCTCTCTCTCTCGGCTTTATTTCCGAGCAATGCTCGTATTATTAGGTAATCGAGCCCCGTCGTGGCACGGTTATAATTTTTATCCTAAATATTTTAATACATTCCCGAAATTAATTTTTTCTCGGTCAACCATACGACTCGGTGTTATTCCGAAGGGGAATTCTAATCCCGACGAGAAGTCGTCCGAGGGAAACCAGTCCCCGTCACGGCCGGCACAAATTACCGAGTAACCTCAGTAGAGAGTAACTCGTCGGCAGGACGGAACGTATCTTGCCAAATTTAGTCGCAAACGCACAGAAACATTCGCAAAACGTCCGTAAAACCGTGGAAAAATATTTTATTGGAACCCGTAATCAATTCGCCATTTTCGCATCTTGTTACAACTTACCGATTAAAATAGTAATTTATTTAAGATCATAAATTAAATAAAAACAAGGAAAATTCAGTAACAGTTAAATGGAATTAATTAACGAGGAAAGTTGTCAAAATGTATTATTGAAAAGTCGTCTTCTTTCTATTTATTACAGTTAATGAAATATATCAGGAAAATTAATTGCAGAAAAATGTTGAGTAAATACATTCATTACTCGGCAGAACGAATTGTTTTTTTGTAAACAGATTTAAAGGTCAGACATACAGTACATATAATTCCTTATACGCGTAGAGGAAGAATCTTTGCGAGATTTATGCTTTTTTCGTATTATTAATTCGTGATGACGGAAGAGGTCAGACACGCAGACACACCACTCGTTTTGTACCAGATCTTCCATTAACCCAATTAGATTTCGTTATAAAAAAGAACTCGACGCGAAATTAATTAAGATTCTAATTCTTAATAATCAAACGAAGAGATTTAGATTACTTACCGAAGTCATCTCGAAGTCGAAAGAAATAAATCGATGATAATATTCGGTTCAACAGCCGGCTCGATTCACGTCCGTCCGAGTGTAAACATTCGACATGTCTGCTTGTTTTCATACACGAACACTCCCGACGGACCGAAACCGGAGCTCGTCTCTCATTGGACATGGTAACCACGTGATTCGAGACGCCACCTAAAATATAAACCATTCACTTCCGTTTTTTTTTTTTTTTTTTAATTTTTTCGGGTTTTAACTTATCCGTAAAGTGGAGATACGAAAAAAATAAAAATAAACGGAATTTATAATACTCGAAGTTAAAACGGGAGAATTTTTTTTTTTTTATATTTTACTGATGTAAATTTATACAATGTAGACGTATTGAACCTTGGTTTATTATGAAACCTTGACTTATTATAAAAACTTGACTGACAAATGACTAAATGAAGTGTATTTTTTTCGCCATTTTCTTGGTAAAATATAAATTTGTATAACGAGTATAAAATATAATTACAAGTTATTTTTAAGCTAGATTTACGCTTGTATGTAAAATCTTATAAGAGTTACCGCTTAAAAATACCATTTCTCACACGAATAGAGCGTTGTAAGTGATATAAAATGGCGGAGGTTCTGGGTCTATTCGTATTAATAACTAGCGCAATTATTTAGTTAATTGTGTAAGAGAATTTCTCCAAATGTCCTTCGTCGTAAAGATATCTCGAGCTGTACACAGAGCTGTATGTACAGTACAGTATACAGAGACGAAACGGAAAGTATTAGATACATTATTTTCCGATGATGACACCATTAATGATACGTATGAATAAAAACAATTGCGACATATAGCCGGGGAATATAATTATAATGATATCAATACCGACTTAACTAAAGATGACATTAAAAGAGTATTGCATGATTCCAAGGGTACAAGGACCCCTGGAATAGATGAAATCGCGTATGAAATAGTTAGAAATGAGCATAAAAATCAACTTAAAGGAAACTTTTGGAATGTCATTTTGGTATATGGTGTTAAAAAAAATTTAATATTTTGTCGAATAATCATAGTTCAAAGTATCATTATTATCACTTTGCCCGATGACGTTTGTCATTATTCACAATGACCGGGAATGATTTATAATGACCATATTAGTATAATGCCCACTTAGTCTTTATTGTTAATTATACATATAAATAAACGTAAAATAGACTTTAAATTGTAAGTTTGTAAAATGCTATTTTGTAACAATGAGTAGTGTGTCTTGCCGGTAAGCCCGTGGCAAATACTTCAAGGGAAGTGTGGTGGGATTTCTGGAGTTCTGCCAGTCATAATTGTGTATTGATAAGCGAGTCATTCGTGCGTGTTAGATGCAGAAAAACGCTATAAATTATCAGTTTTTATCGTTTAATGTCATAAATTTTATCTCCTATTCGATAAATTCTTTAAGATGTTTATGATAATTGAAATACGTGATTTTTTTTTCTTTTAATATTTCTGTTTTACGTATTTAAAATTAAAAATTTCGATAGAGGAAAGTGGTGCAAGATGGGGCTATAGGGTAAGACTGGGACGTCTGTTTATTCGTGGTTAACGCGCTTTCATCTAGATATTATTTGGGGAACTAAATGCCAACCTCAAAAGGAATCACGGGACGAGAGAACGTCCCAGTGGTGTACCGTGGGTGTCAGCCGCCCGGGGCGGAGGAAAATTTCGGCCCCCTCTTATTTAAGTATTTCAATTTAAAAGACCAAAATTCAGTTTTGTCACAGAACAAGCAATGAAAAATTCGGTGGTAGTGCAGCGGCCTGTTTAAAATAGTTCTATTGGATATTAGTGGTGTATATGAACGCGAATGAATCGTACATGCAAAAAAAAGGTCAAAAGGTCAATTTTCTTATCCGAGGAAATCCTCGGATAAGAAAATTACTAGTTCACCCGAACGGCGAGCCGATTCCCAGATTGTCCGGACGATAGCATAGTTTAGGATGTTTCAAATTTTTACAAGATATTATTATTATTTATTGTGAAATTTTGCCGCCCCCTAAAAAGTGCCGCCCGGGGCGGGCCGCCCCTGCCGCCCCCACTACGGTGCGCCACTGGAACGTCCTAATCGCTCTCTTTGGAAGTAAGACAGTTTTCCACGTTTCGGCAATACTCCATCTAATTTTACGCCCGTTACAATTTCTACAAAGTGTGAATATCACCACTTCCCCACTCCAAAGATATCTATATATATATTTGTAAACTGTTGTTTGTAATAATTTTTGTTTATTTACTTTATATACATTTTTAAAATTATGTATTCGCGTAAACCTTAATTGTATCTTGAATAATAACCGAAGTTGTAGGAGGAAATTCGCCTATTTTATCAATCTATGGACCCCCTTTTCCAAATTTTAATATCAACTTAAATTAATTAGAATAAAACGGTTTATTATCCAACTATCAGAAATCTCACAACATGCCAAAGAAAAGAGGTAGAAGCAACCAAATAATCAAAAATTATAAAAGATATATATAGAAATGGGGAACATTGCATCCCCCTTGTTTTCGGCAATGTTTACATAGTAAATGAAGAACTGTCAAAGCAATCAATGAACAATGATCAATGAACAATGACAAGAGCAAAGATGAGTCATGTCAACTCAAACACAAACTCAGAGATGACTCTACCTAAATAAGAAAACACTGCCTCAGCTACAATGATGACACTGGCAATGAATCATCACCCTATGATGAACTTCCTCGTGTTGGAAGGGTTTAAAAGGAGAGCTCCAGTTAGAAAAAGTTAGAAAGAGGCAGTGAGATAGTCAACAGTTGGGGACACAGCTCCAGCCAGAGAAAGGCAGTTGAGTTGCAGACGCTGTCACAGAAAGAGTTGTTGCAGAACGAGTTAGAGTTGCAGTCACAATCAGACAGACAGAGAGCAAAAGAGAAAGACAGAGATCCAGAGAGTGAAAACAGACGAGCACCAGAGCAAAAGATCAACAACTCACTGCTGCGCGTTTAGAGTTCACCCTCCATTACAAATCTCTTAATTACATCGTAGAATGTTGATAAAGCATGATAATGTGAAAAATGTATCTGTAATCTCTATGTACTGTATAATTTAGTCTCTACAGGGTAACGCCACACTGAGATCTCGCACCACCTCAAAATTTTCCTAGGGCGGCCTCTGGTTCGGGCTGTGAAAAAAGTTTTCTTTCCAATTCGGCCCGGGGGACAAAAACTGTTAGCCACCCCTTGATCTAGGGTCCATTCGTATCGTTTATTCGATAAGCCAGTAAAAACCGTAGACTTCTCTATATGCATTTTTAATATCACAATTACATTCCGAATCGCTAGTCACGATATAAGGACTACAATTAAAAATAAAATAATAAAAACTTACTCGGTGAAATAAAATGTGTGGTGGATGTACCGTACAGTACATACCTGGTACTACAAAATATTCTTCAATTGTACGAATATACTTTTAAAGAAAATTATAATTATATAGCTTGTAAAGAAACGTACATAAAAATATAAAATATTCTTTACTTTTTAAACCATAAAACAATGCACTTAGTCAAATAGCTCCCTACGAGTGGCTAATGGATGGAATCGAAGACGGTTGCGGAGCATGCATACACGCGGACTGCCAAATCCCAAGGGTGCCGATATCGGTCAATGTCAAATATCTCTTTTGTCGCATCACCAGTATAACTCAAAGGACGCGACAGGGCTGTTGTAAATTTTAAACATTTCTCACCATAGCTGTAAAAATCTAAATATGTTAAACTTAATATTCATTCGTTTTCTAACTAATTCATTTTAGGACCAGGTGTCCACAGAAATTTCCAAAATTTATAACTTTTCGGTCACTCTCGTTGAACTGGAAAAATTTCTGTCTTTATAACATTAATAATATGAAGAAATCTATCTCCACTGTACTCGGCTAGAGATGGTTCGGTTAAACTTTTGTTTAATTAAGTAAAATTCCGGCTCTTTCGTCGGGGTATTGTTTATATCTCCAATTCCTAATCGCTTAATTATTTAACTACTTCTTAAGTAGAAATAAGTCGAAACCGGTTACTTTGTACTCGAATATTTGTAATCTCTGGAAAAAAGTAGAAAGACAAATTTTTATGACAAACGGATACATAAATCGTAAATTTAAGGAAAATAATTTGGTTAATTTTTTTAACACTATACAAGAATTGTACACGATACCACGATACCGCGCTTCCACTCCACCACTGATATTCAAATATACAATAGCGATCTTATCTTTTTTTTTCACGTGTAGTATAGAAATTTGTAATAAGATACGTAATGCGGTTATAATAAAATATTGCGCGATTATTTTCGTATAATTAAAATTAATATGTATTTATTTTTTAGAAAATACAAGGGAAGCGGCGCATCCACCGCTTCCAATGACGGCACGCCACTGCCTTTTAAATGAAGATATTATGGTATTCGAAGTAACCTTTAAGACTGAAATTGTTTAGTTTTGAAATAAAGTTGACCCGTGTTTTCAGTCAGTATGAAAAGTGCACGTTGGGGCAAGATGATGTACCCCATCTTGGCCAAGGTTGGTCATGAATTCTGCTGCTGGCTAGAGGCACTGCAGTATAGTGCAGCGAACTAGTTTTGAATTCGTTGTCATTGATAATTCTATATCATTTTTCGAATATATAAAATAATAAGTTTAAAAATGATCTTTTTATAGATAACGAAATATTCCACTTTTAAATCATATCTAACTGTAATAAATTTATATAGTATATACTTTATTTCCCCTTTATTTTCTTTTTTTACTCTTTCCGCCCTGTGGGTACTAAGAGGGCCTCTTTTCGCAAGCCCATTATGGGTTCAGCCAGGCCCACAATGGGGCTGCCGAGTGGTGAGGGACGGGGCCCAACATATCTGAACGGAAATTCCTGGGGATTTTTTCGAGCCGTTCGGATTCGAGCCCGGGTCCCCTAGAGCGGTAGGCTGCCACCTTGACCACTCGGCCATCCGGCCGCTGACCCGTCCGGATAAGATCCCGGGTCCCACAAAAGCGGTAGGCTGCCACCTCGACAGCTCGGCCATACAGTATATAATGTATTACTTTATTATTTATGTTTTATTTTATTTGTGAAAACATTTTAAAAATTTAAATAGTATCTTAAC